TCTACGATTTACGATTTATTTGAGCACGACTGTTTGTTGAGTTGAGTTGACAAAAAAGTGATAGGTTTATGTTGAACTGCTGTGTTTAGCTGTTTTTGCAGTCGTGGAAACTGTTTTCTCTCGTTCCGGTCGAGCTTTGTTCGTTTTTGACCGTTTTGGTTGCTATAGCAACCATTACTTGATGAATCTTTCTTTGCATTCCGTCAAGAACATTCTAGAACGTTTTCGTTCCGGTCGAGCGACCCAGTTTCTTTGAGCCTACTGTTCATGCAGTCTAAAGCTTCATGAAAGGAGTTTATTGTCGCCACTACAAACTTTTCGTCTAATTCTGAATCGGGCCAAGGATCATTGAAGGGATCACGCGATAAATAATCAACTATGCCCATGTCCCTCCCCGGAATGTGAACTATATTGAACTGATTTGGCAATAACCGGTCAACCCACCGGGTCAAACGAGTATTGGTAGGTGTTATTCGACTTGTTACCATCTAGCGCTGATGTAAGCGCTTTATGATCTGTTTCAATGATAAATGGTTTTCCCAAAAGGTAGTGTTTATATCTCTCTACTGCCCAAACAACTGCCAGTAACTCCAGTGCATTTGTTGAATTTTTTTTCTTGGGCATTCAGATATCGGGATGCGAATGAAATTGGAACCCACAGGCCTTCATCATTTTGTTGTTCCAATGTGGCTCCTAGCCCATCGTGGCTCGCGTCACATTTAACTCATGTTTCTCGGTTAGCATCGTAATAATATACTTTTGTTATATTTGCAACAGCCTCTTTTATAGCATTAAATACTACCGTGTGTTCATCCCCCCACTCAAACTTTTTTACCGGGAGTTCCATGTTTTTTAACTTTTTCTTTTGATTCTCTTCTTTAAGAAGTTGTCTCAATTTCTCAGTCAGACTTGCTGCGTTAGGTATAAATTTAGCTAAGTGATTTATACTTCCCAGAAATGACCTTAACTGCTTAAGCGATTTCCGCGGGTTCAGATTTACAACCGCTTCGGTTTTAGTGATTTTAGGTCTAACCTCTGTTTCTGAGAGATGATGACTAACCAATTCACTTCTTGTTTGATAATTTCAATGCCAGATTTTCCGCATCCAATTTCTTTAGTACTGTTTCCACCAGATTTCCATGTTCAATTTCATTTCCCTTTGACACAATAAGTATGTCATCCAGAAAACAGAACGTTATTTTAGCGTGATTGATAGTTCTATCCATGGCCTTTTGAAAGTCGGCTGGCATATCTGCTAAACCATAGAACCCTGTCAGAAATCTGTATGTTCCGGTTGCTTTCCCACCAAAAATATTAAAGTTGCATTGTTAAGCTGTATCAGCAGCCAATTTTAATTGACTGTACGCATATTTCAAATCTAACACCGTGAAATATAGAGTACCATTTTCGTTTTCGGTAACAATTTGGCTCACCCCATCGATGAGTTCATCCACATTCGGCATTTGATATTTGTTTTTGAACAATTGTCTATTAATTGGTTTTGCGTCCATCGCCAATTTTATTGAGTCGTCTTTTTTTACTGTTATCACAATCGGAGCGATAAAGCAATCACTTGTACATTTATCGAGTTTTGTTATATGACCTTCTGTCAACAGCTTCTCGATTTCTTTTTCAATTTTATCTTGTATGTGAATTGGGATTCTTCTCCCCTTTTCTTGAATTGGACATAGCGGATATTTAAATTTTGAACTTACAATCTGATTTTTTGAAATTCCTTGTCTTTCAAATAAGTTTTTAAATTTAGTGAAAAAATTTTCTTTCCAACCTTCTGACTGCTCGCACATGAGCACGTCAAACCTGGTAAGTTCCTTTGGCTTTGGTTTTTGTGTAGTAACTATTCCCACTTGTCCTTGCAAATCTAGTCCCATAATGCATCTGGTCTTACGTTCTGATACAAGAAAGTTAGCGACTTTCACCTCCCAGCCCGCCGACCGAAGATTCGTCTTTAAGGCTCCCAATATACTAATCGGTTGTTTGTTGTAATCAACGAATTTGGTTTGTAAGTTCAGTTTCCTGACGGAATGATCTTACTTTGCTTGATTTTTCCATGTTTTCCTTCGCCGTCGCCCAATTGAGAAATGAAACTGGACTTCCCGTGTCCACTGTCAGTTGTATTATTTGATTATCGATTCGTGCCATGGCCTTTAGTGATTTTACTCGTTTCAATGTTGGATCTCGAATCTAATCTATTTTCTGAACTCTATTTTCATTGATTCGATCTTTCACATATTTTAAAACTCTCTCGTTTTCCGGTTGATATGTTTGTATTGACATAAATTCAAACTCACTACATGACCCAACACTTTCACTTATCTGATCGCATTCCTCTACCGATCCTTCCGAGTCTTCCGCAACTTCGCTTACCTGTTGAGATCTGCACATTTTTGCAAAATGATTGGGTTTACCACAGTTCTTACAAGTTTTCCCCATCGCTGCACAATTTTTCAAGTGTCCTTGATCAAATTTCCTTCCACATCTGTTACATGGTTTTAATTTCATGTTGTGATTCTTGTAATTATTTTTTGTCTTTTATTCGATTCCTTTCTGTTTTGATATTTTGTTGTCTCTGACAAATTTTTGTTTTACAGGTTCTTGTTTTATTCTCACACCCGAGGTGTAATTGTTGCTTGATCCTCCTGTAGCCGCCGCATTTGTCTTTTGGAACGCCATTGTGGTTACCTTACTATGTTCGAACTTTATCGCCGTTTTCAAAACCTCTTCCGGGTCTAGGGTCTTGAATGTCAGCGTGTCCTGCAATGTCATGTTTTTCATTTTCGAAATGAATAGAACACGGACTATCTCATTTTCCAATGTTCCCAGTTCTGATCGGGCTGCTTGTGCAGTTAACGCTGCGTGAAATGATTCCAGAGATTCTCCTGATTCTTGCATTCTCGTAAACAGTTTGTATCTCTCGTACGTTACAAATTTCACCTTTTGAAATGAAACTTCTGCAAGTTCTGTAATTTCCCTGAACGTCATTTTCGATAGTTCAGCATGTGGGTTCTTTTGTAGGAACCGTTTCTTTTCTTCTGTATCCAAAGACAAAAATAATCCGGACACCAATTTCTTTTGTACTTCGTTGTAGAAAACATTGTGTCCGACTCGTGGGCCCCTTGTCCCTCTCTCTTCATTCTCCAACAATACTCTATCCCTTGCTAGCTTGTCTCTAAGGGTCCTCGCATTCCTCGCATCTTCATTCTCTCCTTCTTGGGGTGTTTCTGGTCGAGGGGGTGGTTCCTCTAGTATGTCTTTTGGTTCTTCTAAAATAATCTCTGGGTTCATATTTTCTTTAACCGTAACCGCCATGAGAAATTGTTCGAACCAGATTTTGAATTGCCACGGAGGATCTAAATTCGCTGACGCCCAAAATACAGGGATTCCTATATCCGTTCTGTTGTCTTGAGCTGCGAATCCTGCTGGCTGCGCCATGTGATATGCGTTGCGATATCAACTGAAAACAAGTTGTAATTCAATACTGTATTCTGTATATTGAATTTAGTTTTCTTTTACTTTGCTTTGTTAATGGTTACTGAGAACTAGATCAGCGCTGAACAACTCTGATCTTTCACTTGGTCTCAATGTCATCACACACTGTGACCTTGAGTATACCATAAAAGTAATAACTAAGCACCGTAGGTTGGTGGTACATACATAAACAATTACAGTCGCACGACCTATGTGTCAACTGTGTTCTACCTATGTTTCGGCTTTCTGGACCAAAATCGGGTGTCTTTCGACTGTGCTCAATTTACTTTTCGACTCTGCTCGACCTATGGTTCGACTTTCTCGACCGAAATTGAACATGTTTCGACTGTGCTCGATTTATGCTTCAACTGTGCTCAACCTGTGTTTAAACTGTGGTCGACCTATGTTTCGACTTTCTTGGCTAAAATTGGGTATGTTTCGATTGTGCTCGATTTATGTTTCGAATGTGCTCGGTTTATGTTCCGATTGTGCTCGACTTTTCTTTCGACTGTGCTCGACCTATGTTGCGACTGTGCTTGACCTAAGTTTCGACTGTGCTCGATTTATGTTTCGACTGTGCTCGACCTATGTTTCGACTGTGCTCGATTTATGTTTCGATTGTGCTCGACCTGTGTTCCGACTCTGCTCGGCCTATGTTTCGTATACTCGACCGAACTTGGGTATGTTTCGACTGTTGTCAGTTTATGTTTCGACTGTGCTCGACCTATATTTCGACTGTGCTCGACATATGTTTATACGGTGCTCGCCTGATGTTTCGACTTTTTCGACTCACCAACTATCGAACAGAATGAGTAAATTGACGAAAACTATAAAAAACACTTTCAAATTTATTTGCTGTCATGATGCTTGAACAGAAAATTAATAAAAAGAATCAGTAAATGCGAAAAGTGAATCGAAAAGTAGTTTGTACAAATCTTCTTTTTTTTATTTTCGCAGAGAATCTGGACTGAAACTGTTGATCTGAAAACTGATATTTGAGTAAATATTTGTAGATGTTTTTCTTACCGCAGGAACCCTTAGATCTCAAAAAAATCTACGGTTCCATCCGAAACATTAAGACTTGCGGCAGGCAGGTCTCGACAGTTTTTTTGTTGATTGTAACTTTTTGACGGTTGTATTTTCTGAGCAGATTTTTTTTTGCTCCGTTTCCAAGTTAAAACTTAAGTAAAATTGTCATAAAAATTACACTTTGAAAAATTCAGGTTATGCTGACCTATGCTTTTTATTCTCGATCGAAATCGGGTACGTTTCGACTTTGTGCTCGACGTAAGACTGCTTCTCAACCGCGGATTTTTTCGTTCGAAAAACTGCACTTGCTCGACCTTCAAAGTCAAAACATAAGTCGAGCACTTCGACTCGGGTTACAATCTGTTCAGCTCTTTACTGCAAACCGCTGTTGCTCCCCGGTTATAAAACTCATGTAAACTTTTTGGTTTTTTTGGTAGAGAACTCGATTCACTAACTAGAGTAAGTTAAAAAAGTGTAGAATTGACCTTGATGAATTCTTCGATGTGTGCGGTTGAGACGGAGTGCTTGCTGCACCACTTCTTCAGACTGTCCTTGGTGATCCGGTTGGACTCGTGGTTGGAGAATGCGTGGAAGCTAGCACGCAGCTCCTCTTCCGTCTTCAGAGACATTATGTTATATATGCAGTATAAATCTCAGCTAGTTACCACCTGAAACAGCAGCCGTTCTTATCGATCGGTCTTTATTGATATAGCCCGACCACGCCCTTCCACCCGCCCATAACACCCCCTACCCGAACCAACCAGTAGGGGTTACGAGTTTTCAATCGCAAAAAACTAATTGCAATTAAAATATTTGAGCGGCTCCCCTCAAAAGGGGGGTCAAATGATGGAAGTTTTTTTTCCTGTTATTTTCAGCCAAAAAGAATTTATTATTCAAACGTCTCAAAGAAGTCGCTAATGGGGGCTTTTGTTATGGGCGACGCACCGAGTGGGCGAAAGACTCATGGGCAAAGGGCCGAAAACAAAAACAGTCAAGTTGAATTATTAAAATGAATCAATTGCTTTTCAATTAAAAGGAATTGAATGAAGCAATATTTTGATCTTATTTTATAATGAAACACTTGAAATGACAAATTTGTTCCATTTTGCCGGAGGTCAATGGCAATTTGAAAATTTTGCTTACTTCTGCAGTGTTTATATTTCTTTGTCTCGACATTTCTTTGGTTTTTCTAAATATAGGTCTTTCTAAATCTTAATTAGTATAGGTCTGCTCGAGACTCGTTGGTCGCACCAGATGAGTTTATGTCCGACGTGGCCTTCTCATAGAAAAATGTCGGGTAAATTACACCGCCTGTTCGACACTCTATCTTATTTTTGGCCGGATAGATTCGTACAACTAATACCAATCCTAACCTTACTCTCATATTTCTCAATCTCAACAGATCTAGTATATACTGGTATTCTTGCGAGTTTAGAGAAGAGAAAGAGGCAACTGATTTCTAAGTTAGATAGTATCTCTCTGTCTGAAACTAAGAATAGTTTCAGCTTTACAAATTGTCATCAGTTTTAGTAATGGCTCATGATTGGTTAACTGAATGTTTTACAGCAGTGATAAAAATCGAAGTATATAATAAATACTGGTTTGAACTGTTTCCACCCATCCGGGGCTTGGGAATTTTTTGAAATCAAAGCTTTTCTCATGAAGGATTGATGGAGAGTCTTCTAGATTTTTTCAGGAGAGTTTTAATTGACTGTATCAATGAAAAACTTGTTGTCGATATCTATTGATAATTAGAGATGTTTTGAATCAGAAAGATCGTACTAAAATTGTAGATACTGTGCTAATGATGTGTCGATTTCGTAAAAAAGAGCGAGCGACACTACGTGCATTATCAATTAATTGTTCCTAATGATCGAGTAGTGAGGAGATCCAAGTGACAAGGATCCGTATTGTTGAGTTTCAATACCGAGTTGGCCCTTGATTTTGGTCAATGGATACCTTTGCCGCAATATTGGCTCCATAATTTATGTCTTGCAAGTGTTGGGACAGCGGCAAGCAAGGCCAATAGATTTTTCATTCCATAACCGGAACGTCATCTAGTTTTCGTCTCCTTTTTATGTTCATTTTTTTTGCTCTGTGAAATTTTTTATTATAAAATTCTGAAATTTTAGTGATTCAGTTTCAGTTATGATCTCATTGCTTATTTTCCCAAAAGTATTTTCATTGCTTTAGTTACTTTAAAGTGTTGCTTACCCTAGAGCAACTCTTGGTAAAAATTAAAAAGTTTGGTTCTAAGCACATCATGCTCAAGAAAGCTTTGAAACGGTTGATGGGTTAGACCAGTAGAGAATACTTATGAGCGTCTCTTTTAGTCCTTTGCTTGTTTATATTTTTTTTCCTTTGTGTCAGGTGATTTTTGTTTTGTTCTTTTTGCTGTGTTCTTTGTTCAAAAACAGATCGTCTTTGATTATTGGTTACTTATGGTCTTAAAAAGATTAACTTGTTGCAGTACATGTGGTCTTAAAAAAATTGTTTTGAGTTTCAAAAAAAAAAATTATCCAGTTTTAATCTGGTTTAAATATAGTGAGACTTTCCTGTTCATATTGTTAGCGCAGTGGCGGTAGTAAGCTGCGTTGGTTATCAAAGCTCAATTCCTTATTTGACAAGGTTAAAGAAAAGTTTGAAAGGCATTAAAGATGTTTAAAGTTTTTATCAGTTAGTTTGTCAAACTTGAAATTCATTTATTTACTACTATTGTCTTGCGGAATTTGCTCAAAATCTGATGAGAGTTTTATAAAGAAGGCTGAGCTTACGATTTGATATAATAAAACACACATAAAATGTTACGCTTATATTTTCAATACTACTCATTCATTAATTTATTACATTGTATGACAATCTTACAGAAGTAAAATTTATAGTTTACTCCGTTTTGTATAATATTTAGCTTACAATTATTTTTATTATTGGTTAGCATTTTTGATTGTACAAAATATACAATTGTTTCTACTATGTATTTGGTTTTCTTGAATTTTAAAGAAAAATGACGAAACCTAAAAGAAAAGTGGCAATTTACACTCAAAAAAAATGTGAGTAAAAATTCAGAACTAATTAGTAAATTTAAATTTTCTTTTCAACTAGAATCGGTGTTAGTGAAAAAGTCATTGGGAAAGTTAGTTCCTATAATAAGTGATTGCATTATAAGCTTAGCTAAGATACTGATTACAGTTCTGGTGGTTAAGAGATGCCATAGAGGCTCAAATGACTTGATGATCTTGACTTGTTCTGGTGTCACTGAAAATACGTGGTGAGTGTTTTGGATGGGATAGTAAAGTTTGTAATTAAAATTAGTGCTGTGGTTTTTTCCTAATAGAGGTAATTCAACAAGCTGTATATACTCATGCGGGATGATAATGGGTTGGGATTCGTTAACGGGGAACGTGTTCGTGAGGGCCAAAAAATGTACTTTTGGCGGACGGGATCGTATTTTCATAGGATGAATGCAGGTTAGTACATTTAACTCAAAAAGTTAGTTTTAAGAAATAGGGTGATGTGTATTTAGAGTTAATAAGCATATATCGATGATGTGGTTTCGTGAGGGTAAGCTTTGAGATAGTGTCTTTGTATGAAACAATAATACGTGTCTTTGTTAACTTTGTTTTTAGCATGACTTCGTGGGAGCAATTTGTATCGCGTTCTTTTGAGTTAGAAAAACAAGTTTAGTTGATAAATATCAAAACCATTAAAAAAACGTCGTTCGCTTTGATGTTTTCAAGCGCATGCTCAGGGAGATAATCAAACTTTTTGTTATTGCTGTGCAAATAGAAATTTTAGTCGAATTTATTGAGGATTTTTTCTATTAATTGGGGTTATATTTCTTGGTCAATGTCATACGGGGAGTCTTCCATGCAACAGATAACAGTGAGGTCATAGTGTGCGATATTTCAAAATGCGTAAGAATAAAGATTGACAACATGTGACAATCCAAAATTACTGAAAAATTCGAGCTGAATAGCGTTTTGTAAGTTGACGAAGCGCCCGAGCTTCGCTGGATTGTTTGTTTATTTGGGAATGAATTCCACATGTGTTACATGTCCCTTTTAAGCAATGCAAACAGAAACCTTATCAGGTTAAACATAGAATATTAGAGTGTTAGTCTTTCTAAAAGGTTGTACGGTAATATTTAGTTTTTTTAAATGAAATAAAAATGAAGTATGTTGATTGAAAATTAGCAATAATTTTTTTGCGGTAAATGTAATTTTTTACATCTTTAAATTCTCCACCATAGACTTGGGCGTATATATCTGAAAAACCGGCTGTTTTAGCGAATTTGCTTAGATTTTGCTCTTTTGATTTTTGCTGTTTCGGTTATCCATTTTAAGTATTCATTCTTGAATTTTTTTTTTGTTTGGATGTGATGTTTTATGTCACATTTTGAGTATTTTTTATAGATGATAAGTCATTATTATCATTTCTGGCTATTGTGCAAATGCTTTTTGGTAAAAATTTCTCTAGAGGTGGCAATAATGTGGGGTATGGTGTGAGGAAGTATTCTTTATCTTCGTCTGGGCTTCTTGTACTACATTGTGGCTATATTATAAACCATAAGGGACGGCGGTATTCCAAAAGTATTTTTGTTTTTAGAGTGTATCTACAAAAAGAACTTTAAAAAAAAACCAAAAATCGGTATTCGTTGCTTACAGCGTTTAGCGTCTGCAAAGACATAAAGTTGTTTCACAACTTCTTAGTGTAATTGTAAAACCAGAAGATTTCATTTGTAGTCAATTAAATTGGAGCAATTTCCTGAGAGGAGATATCCTGCATAATGAATTTTAATATTGCGAGTGCTAATGATTGTAAAATTATTTAGGTTCATTTGTTTCCGTTGCTTGGAACTATAAAGCTGTTGTTGTTGAATTCGAAGGAAATAATCTTCATCTTCTGAGATGTGAGATGAATTTCTGTTATTGAATTGTCCATTAGTTGGGAATTTTTTTAATTTTTTTTTGAAAACCTGTTTAATTTTCAGTATGGTCTGTTTGAGTGTTTTGTTCATCATGCAATCTTAATGATTATGGATTTGAAAATTGTGGTTGTTGCTGATTATAATTATGGTCTAGAGATTGTGATTGTTTTGATTGAATCAGATCTGCTACTGGGTGATTAATTTTATTTTTAGCGAAGTTGTTTTGGGGTTAATTTTTTGGTCTATTGAAAGATCGTTTTCCGGTCATCTATCTAAAAATTTGATAATACATTTGTGAGTATTTGATGAAAACAATTGGTTTAGCTGACGATATTAATGTTGTTTCTGGGAACAAGGTGTTATTCCTATTATGTGGTGTAATTATTGTTGTGTAAATAGGTGATACACTTTTTTGTGTGTTGTTACTGGTTTTGGTGCAAATATTTCTGCATTTATAAAATCTGATGATGTTTGAACATCTTGAAGGTTCCATTCGAACTTTCTTGGTTAAACCTGAATGTTGAGAACTGCTAATGCTAGTGACTGTAAAATCTGGGTTGTTTCTAGTTCACATAGTTGGGTGATTAATTTTATTTTTAGCAAAGTTGTTTTGGGGCTAATTTTTTGGTATATTGAAAGATCGTTTTCCGGTCATCTATCTAAAAATTTGATAATACATTTGTGAGTATTTGATGAAAACAATTGGTTTAGCTGACGATATTAATGTTGTTTCTGGG